CACTGCGGCTTCTCCGGAAGCATGTGAGTAGTAGTAGTAGTAGTAGGAGTAGTAGTAGTAGTAGTAGTAGTACTAGTAGTAGTAGTAGCAGTAGCGGGCAGAAATAGTAAGTCGTCGTCGTGGTAGTAGTAGTGGTAGTGGTAGTGATAGTGGTGGTCGCCGTCGTCGTCGTCGCCGTCGTCTTCGTAGTCGTAGTAGTAGCACTAGCAGTAGCAGTAGCAGTCGCAGTTGCAGTCGCAGTAGCAGTGGCAGGGGCAATATCGGTAGCAGTAGCAGTAGCGGAGCAGGAGGCAATAGCAGCAGCGGCAGATGCAACAGCAGCAGCAGCAGCAGCAGGAGCGGAGGAGCAGCAGGAGCAGGAGCAGCAGCAGCAGGAGGAGGAGGAGTGGTAGTGGCAGTGGAGCTGGAGTTAGACTATGTACCGCTATTCGCATCAGCATTAGTAATGGCATTTGTGTCAGTACCAGTATTCATATTAGCAGTAGTATTTGTATTTGCACTAGTATCAGCATCAGTATGAGTATTCGCATTCGCCTTCGTTTGCGTATTCGGGTTGGTATTCGTTTTGGTCTTCGTTCTTCTATTAGTAGTCATGGCGCTTACAGGCGGGAGCAGTTGTAGCAGCAGCAGTTGCACCATTCAGCACTCTTCAGTCAGGCAGCAGATCAAAGTTTAGATCATCGGCATTTGTCTTGTTTTGTAGTTATTTGTCTCATGTTTGTGCAACCAGTTTTATGCTGGAGTTCTTCGTTTTCGTTTGTAAGTTGTTGTGTAGGTCTAGCCTGACAACCTCGAGTAGAGTCGTAGGTTCTCAGAGCATGATGGTCATCGTGAGGCGTCACGAGTCCCCTGCGGGTTGTGCCTGAAGAGGTCTTGCTAACATGCTCTCGTGTTGGCATGTGAACAGTGGTCTTCTATCTTCATTGCAGCGGCAGCAATGAAGATGCAAGGATAAGATGTGGGGTGATTGCTTGCGGTGAGGGAAATGTGAAGACAAGCGCCGAAGCGGTGTTTTGGAAGTAGGGCCCCGGCAACCAGTCCAAACAATCGCAAGGGCGTGCTGATGATGCATGACTTGTCCCATCTTGAAACGAAGCATTTACCCTCTAGACCGCTCCTGATGTGGCACGCATGTTGCAGTGCAGGTGCAGTGCGCGAACTGCGAGGCGAGGAGATGGCCCGGCGCTGGGCTCTTCTCGCCAGTGAGACCTGGGATGCAGAACGCCGCGCCGGGGAGGTGCCTTGTGCTTGAGTTTCCGAAACGCCAGTCAGCTGCAATGGGATTCGCATGTTACCTTGCCTCTTCCGACCATACCATGCATTGCAGGAGGCAGAACACGCCAGGTGGATCAAGAGCCGTGCCAAAGACAACATACAGCTCAATACTATCTCGCAGCACTGGCATGCCCCCTCGTTTCTGCACGTATCTCCCAATAACAGCCCACAGCATCGCCGCAACACTCCTCTGGCCTATCGGGAGGTGGCAAGAGCGTGGTGTAAGTCAATCTTCGTGAAGCTGGGTGGGTAAGAGAAAGGGCCAAAGCTTTCTGGAATCGCACTGTCAGTAGTTCTCATCAGCGTAGCGATTTTTGTTAGTATCTTTACGGTCATTCATCACGACAATCACAAAGTAGTTATGGTACTTTTTCGTTGTCATTGTCATCCGTATCATGCACTTGTTTGGGATTCGATTTCGAGTCGACTGCATTGGGAGCCCTTGGATAAGTCTGTGAGGTTTTAGGCTTAATCTATGTTGGCAGGAGGAGGCTGCAGCTGAAGTCGTGAGCCTGGTGGACAGGCTGGGGGTGGTAGCGTCCTTTGAGGCTCAACGAAGGAGACCCGAAGCAGATGCAGTGATGCTATCAAGCCTCCTCCATTTCGACGTGTGCCCAGAGCTGCCAAAATCTCCATTGAGAAGGCTGCGCAAGGACGTCCATGAGGTGCAGGCGCAACTTGCCCGGTCTGCTGGGAGTGTCAAGCTCTGAACTCGCCACTCTCGCCTAGATGCCTTGGTGCCAGCCTATCGCGAAGCTAGGGTTGGGGGGGCAGGTTGCTCTGAGCCAAGCCCAGTCTACGTCGACCTCGACACGCAGGGAGTACGAGGCAATGCCACATTTCCAACCTCCGGATCGACATGCGAATGCTTCTAGCTCACTTCCGAGGGTGCAATTCTGGGCGAGGGAGTTTCTTGTAGAACTTTGCTGGCCCCTGCCGACTTCCCATTTATACCTGTAGCTCGTATTGCACCGCTTTGTTGGAAACCTAAACGAAGCTGTCTCGCCTGGAGAGTCCGAGTGTGAGACATACAGTAGTGCCAAAAACCCAGTTCAGTTCTTACTCGTACAGCAAAAAGCGCCCAAACCCTAAGCGGAAGACCGCCCAGACCCTGCGCCGAGTGATGTCGGCGGCCGGTGCGCCACCTGAGGCTACTGCTGCGGAGCTGCGTCAGATGGCCACCCGATGCAAACGGGGCTTAGTTGTTAGGGCCGGGGCCCAGGCCAAAATCGAGACCGAGAGCCCGCCCCTTTCTTTTAAACTCCCAAGTTTAGGCGCCGCAGGGGTTAAACCTTGGGCTTGGTTTTGTAGGTCGAACCGATCGGAAAGACATACCGCTTGGAGTTCAAGCACTAGTTCGGAAGCAAGCAGCAGATTTTTGATGGATGCTCGCTTGTTCATCTCCAGCTGCTGATCTATTGTATTCTGCGTTGGTAGGATTCCCAAGTCGGAAAAGAAAGCACGGATTTAGAACGGGGGTTTTGCGATATTCCCTTTCAGATCGGTTGTAGTTGCATGTGCGACGTATGTGACGACATTTAATGGTTGGGGGTTCTTTTTGCATTATTATCTTTTTTTTGGTATTTGTTTTGGTTTTCGCCTGAATGGCTTCAAGCTCCGAGTCAGTCAGCCAGTGAGTCGGTCAGTCGATCCGCAAGCCCGCCGGGCAGTCAGTCAGTCAGTCAGTCGG